CATACATACATACATACATACATACATACATACATACATACATACATACATACATACATACATACATACATACATACATACATACATACAGTCATATAGTTACGAATCTAGGTTCATAAAATAAGTAACAGAAAAGAGTGAGGACAACAAGCTTTGCAAAATTTAACAAAAATATTTTTCCCTAGAATACCAAGTGTACAATTAAAAAAAAGAATAAATCAAATCCACAAATAATCCAGGAATTAAAATAGAATTCCTAGTAATAAAAAGTCCTGAAGGAAAATGAGTTCGAATCCTAATGAAATCCAAAATGGAAGACGTTGACGTCTGTTGTAACCTTATAAGTGTAGATGTGTCAACAGTTTCTTGCTGAATCACAGGAACCATTAATCCAGATTTGAAATCCTTGTGCATTCCAGTGGACATCCTTTTCCAAGAACGTTGTGGTAGAACCTATGTATTTCCAGCGAAAGGAATCACTTGAAATACAATTCATTTATTTGGGAGCCCTTCTGAATATAACCTCTATCAAAAACAACAGTTATACGCTAAGGCGGAAACAGATTCCCGGATGTGGGTCAATGTTCTAGAAAAAATAATAATAGAAACATGTTTCATATAACGTACTCCAGGTATGGCGTTGACGTAACGTATTGATTCTTACTCTAAGAAAGAATAAAAATTATGAAAATGTTTTTTTTTTTTTTACCAAAACTGTCACTGATTCTGAATCAAGGTCAGAAATTAGATAAAGGATTTCCATTATTATGTGTTTATTAGTCAAATAAAAAATAAGTCAGGTCAAACAATACTAAACTCAGTTTTGGACAATATCAAAGCCAGTAAACAAAGTTATAATACAATAGCATGTAATGGAATTTAAAAAAAATAAAACTAAGAAATAAATAATTAAATTAAAGATGCATAAGTCTATATATATATATATATATATATATATATATATATATATATATATATATATATATATATATATATATATATATATATACATGTATGTATATATATATGTATATATATATATTTATATATATATATATATATATATATATATATATATATATATATATATATATATATATATATATATATATATATATATATATATAGAGAGAGAGAGAGAGAGAGAGAGAGAGAGAGAGAGAGAGAGAGAGAGAGAGAGAGACAGAGAGAGAGAGAGAGAGTATGATATATTGTCACAACGTCCATTGTATAATTAGACTGATATCTAGAATAACTCCTGCGAGGACTACGATTGGACTTGCCAGTCCATGTCACCAACTTTCGAGCTGGCATGCAAAGAAATTAAATGAGATAACAGATAGCATAAAGCTTCGCAAAGCGTCAACCTCACAGGCTATGCATTAGTTTTGCCTGGGAAAACATTAAGAATTCTAGTAAGGAACCATGATTAAAAAATAACAAAATATTTTCTCTTTGCGTAATCACGATAATAACCTAAGTTGAGTTATGAGTGTCATTAATTTCTACAACATTTTCTTTTAAACAATTTCAAGCTCCTGTTGACATATCACGAAAACTTAAATTACAATTTATTCTTCATTATTGTTTAACTATTCAAATGGTGTTTAGAAGTCGAGACATATTTGTCAGATTATTATACGCTAGTTGTCTTCTTTTGTCTGTCATAAGTCACATAGCAAATTTGCTTTATTTTCTTTGTGGGTTTTTTTTTTTTTGTTTCTTTGAAAGGAGCTTCTTGTGTCTGCTTTACATCGACAAAGAATAAGTAATATGCGTTATGTTTTTGAAGACTGGGTTCGAGATCACAACCTGTATTGCAACCTGTGCTATACATGTTCTTCATCAAAAGGGCGTAGGATTTAGACAGGAGTGTCTGATATATATATTCATCCCTCACAAGACGAGAATATATGTATTTCAAGATAGCTACCCCTGGGGCAATAACTTCGTTTACCTCTCATGGCTTTATATTTTCATATTTGTCTAAAAGAATGAGAAAGTCAAAGAATGAACGAGAGACAGTCAGAAAGACATAGTATTAATCTCCCTTGAACAAGAAATGCAGACAAATTTTTGGTGAATGTTTCTTCTTTTATAACTATAAAAAATTTAACTTCGTATTCTGCTGGTTTCGCGAAAATCTATTAAATGTTATATACCAAAACTGCATAGTGTGCAATCGATTATATTCTCTCTAATTGGCCGTAGGAAATCGAAGGCTGTTCATTGCATAGTGTGTGTAATCGATTAAATTTTCTCCAAGTGGCCGTAAGAAATCGAAGGCTATCCATGCATTATGTGTGTAATCTATTAAACGCTTTCTGAGTTACCATAGCAAATAGAATGTTGTACATGCATAATATGTTTAATTGATTAACGCATTCCAAGTGGCTGTAGCAAATTGAATGATATTAATACAAAATGTATGTAATCTATTAAACGCTGTCTAAATGTTCGTATCAAATCATCGAAGGTTATTTATTTACGCATAGTGTCTGTAATCGATTAAAGTCTCTCTAAGAAATAAAAGGCTAGCTATGTCTAGTGCGTGCAATCCATTAAACGCTTTCTGAGTTAATATAGCAAATAAATGTTGTTCAGGCATAGTGAGTGTAATCGATCAAACACTTTCTGAGTGACTTTAGCAAATCAAAGGTCGTACTTGCATGCTGTATAACCAGTTCGCAACCTATTTGACTTCATGACTCTTGTAAATATGAAGTATCAATATTAAAACAACACATGGGTATAAAATGAATCTCAACTAAAAGAAAAGGCAAACTATATTTATATAGTGTTTATCTATATTGTCAAAGAACATAAAAATAGCCAATGCATATCTATTAAGGAGAGAGCGAAAATGGAATTATCATTGTTCATTGTTTTATTGTTAAATTTGCTCGCAAAAATCCCACATCACGTGGCTGAATTGCTTTTCAAATTCAACCATCTGTATTGAGCTGTATAAATGAATGTTTTGCCAATTAGCTGGATTGTTTTGAAGTCTGAATGAGAAAGTTTATAACGACTACTGTTACCTTTTGGCAGAGAAAATGAATTGAGGGACGGTTACTTACATAACAGAGTGCATACGAATACGTCTCCCCACCCCAACCTTAAATGCTATATTTATTTTCTTTCTTTTATAGTTGACATGAGATGCAAGAAAACATCTTTTGTCGTTTGACTAGCATATTCCCTTGTTCTGTGCACTTTTTGTAGATTATATATTATCCCGCTTCATGTTTGGGTTTGCTTGACAAAATAATTAATGCAAAAAATTCCTCGGTGATATGTTCACATCAAAGATCTTTCATGAAACCGTTTGAAAATTTAGTCCTTGAGGTCCGACTGAGAAGCACAAATGTCGTGTCATTTTACGTCTCGTTGAGTATTCTCGCGTGTGAGAGAAAAATCAGTGTGACACAAACCGTTAAAAGTTATTTACGTCTTTAGAAAACCTTATTTGCTACAGCATAAGCGACATTTATGAATGCGTTAAAGAATAAAATCGTGATTTCAAAATTTAAAAGTGCCCGGAAGTGCAAAATAGACACAATCAAAGGTTTACTTTGCGACCGTGCTTTCATTACTAGATTTAGATTGTTGTATTAAATAATATGGCCAAGTCCAGACATTTCTTCACATCGGTGGAAATGCAGCGCACAATATATGAACTATAGCGCAGAAATAAGAATTTTGTGGAAATGAAGAAAATAAATGGTAAACCAAAGACTAAAATGTTTGAATATTTCCTTACACGCTTCATAACCGACCATCTTTAGTCTTCCAATATATGGGGACAGAGTATGTACCTCTAAACATTACCTCTTTGGTCAGTTATTTAAACTTATAATATACTTTATCTGTGAAAATATGATTAAAATTCCCTGTACAAATTCACCTGAAACTCGGCTACCCCTGCTTAGAGGTCAAATAATGTAAAACGTCCCGTATGTGGTTAATAATGGGAGAACAATACAAGAGGATAATATAAAGTTTGAGTATCATACTGTCTGGCTATAACTGTCCTTTTCAGAGAGAAAACGTTTTGCACACAGCTGATGTGCGGGAAAGGTACAATTACATACAGCGTCATTGTATGTCCTTCCTGCTTCTTTAATCACTTACTCGAGCATATTTTCAATGGCATTCAGTCATCATGCACACTCGTCTAACTGAGAGAAAGGGCAATGTGGAGAGAAAGTCATGCTGAATTAGAACCAAAGCTGTCGACAAATGATGATGAATATTTATGTATGCAATTATTTTGCAACGTAATTGGGGGCAAGCGTTTTTACAACTTCTGCGATCTCTTTTGCTAGCAAATCAACTAATTTTCCGCACATCGATGTGTTTTGTATGGCTTCCGGTCTCAGACTAGGAGAGTAACAAGCAGATCGGTCGAAACAGTATCAAGGTGCTCGAATACTATTCATATTAGTCATATTACAAACAAAACTATATAACCCGTCAGCCTGCAGAGTAAGCCGGGATACGGAAGGTTGATTAATGGCATTGCTGCAGGTAAGACGAACCTTAAATTAAAAGTGTGATTTAATGTCTTTGATTAGCAATTAAGCTGTCTTGCATTATCTACATTGACCTACACTGAATACAAGACCGGAACCTCCAAATAAACCTAATGTACCTTTTACACGTTATTTTTAAGACACCTATAACGAAGAACAGTCTGTCACTAATAGTGTTTGTGTGTGTGTGTGTGTGTGTGTGTGTTTGTGTGTATTGTGATTAGATTTTTAGTTGTAGTATTAACAATTGTTCGGTCATATCGCTACGATGTCTGCAGTGTGACAGTTTATAGTGATGTCTAGCAATGGGGCATCATGCCGCAGACATGTAGCATGATGTCTCAACTGGTCACATTATCCTGACACCAGGCCGACCAGTCCTAACACTAACCTCTTAATGCTTAGCGTTTAGCGAGGCAGCTGTTAGTACCAATTTTTTTTATAAAAAAAAAACAGTCTTTGGTATGACTAAGCTGGGGCTCGAACCAGAGACTTCCCGCATCCGATGCGGACACTCTAACCACTGGGCCACCGGAGCGGTTTGTCACTAATAGTGACACTTAAGGGAAAAAAGTGCAAGAGCGGAAGGCGACACTCAATGGTTGTATCATTCCGGTGCTTTTCGTTCACGATTGTTATTTTTCCTTATGTTTAGATTTTAACTAAATCCATTTGACATGTTGTCACAGACCTGCTCTAATCAGTTATCTATTTTTCTAGACATACAGACACACTGTCGGGTAGATACCGCAAAGGACGACAGAAAACACGGATAACATGCCAGCTATGAAGCGCCGTTTATCATATGAGCCGAAATATGTATTACTGATAACATTCCTGAATATTAAGCATACAAAACGATGATTCACATGCTTGCTGATTTGAAAAATCAACTGAAACAATAATTTATATACCTATTGTTATAACCGATATTTTACATTGATACTATTTTACCAATGTCATATATCCGGAGAATCAGATCCAATATGGCGTCTCGACCGAACGCACCTCTATTGAGAAAAGTCAATAGGTAACAAGTAAAGCCTATCAAGATACCATTACCCCGCCTAAATGACCAAAAGGCCACGTCGTATCTGGAACGCAATACATTTTCGAAATCTTGCAAACGTTTTTATGACTTGGACAAATGACCAGTTGATCCTTTGTGACCTTAATTAATTCAGTGGTCACAAGAATACCGTTTAGAATTTCCTTCAACAAGATCTCTGCTAATTTATAAAGATTACCTCCTATTGTATATGTTATGTATCAGACATAAATCGTGTATAATTAGCTTTTTATTGAATTAATATTGACAGGTTTGATTAATTGAATATAATTTATTTGACACCATTTATCAAATTGGATCCTTTTTCTTATTTGTAGCACTAACGTCTGACAGTATAATTTTCTGATAAGCTATGAACGATATGATATATATGTTATTGTAAAAAATATGCTAGATTCTTTTCATTATTTTAAGACCATTTTTGAACATTTAATTTTCATGGGCGATGGCGAGGATCTCTGAGCTCAGATTTTATCTAAATATCAGTGCATTTTAAGCGACATTTAATCCGTACCTGTTGCTCTAAACGTTTTGACTGCGTGCGCCTTTATTACGTCAGCTGCAGCCAAGATTCAAACGGCAAAATTTCATGTGCTGATTGACCTTTGTTTTCGTGTTTAAAATATTACCTTATAGTTATATGGTATATAATTTAAGTTCATTGTATATAATTATGTTGAATAAACGTTTGCCAAAGCACGATGAAAGAATTTGATCTAGAGGGCGGTCAACAAACCATAATATTTTTATATTATTCCTCGTGTAATCTTCTTTAGTTGTCTTTTCACTGATGTGGTATGGTAAAATAGCTAAATATACTAGACAGACTGAATTCAAATTTGAAAGTTCAGTCTTGGGTAGAATAAATAGACAGAATGCAAATTTGCGTTTGCTATGTGCTGATAGCTAGTTTAGTTCGGTTTTCTTCAATCTAAACAAATATACACACCTTAATTATTAAAGGTTCAATAATGGAAACATGAATGCCATGATATGTATTCTTCTTCTTCTTCTTCTTCTTCTTCTTCTTCTTCTTCTTCTTCTTCTTCTTCTTCTTCTTCTTCTTCTTCTTCTTCTTCTTCTTCTTCTTGGATTAATACTGACACCTTTGTTCATAAAATCATCAATTTGAACAGTTATTAAATACTAGTTCTCTCTCTCTCTCTCTCTCTCTCTCTCTCTCTCTCTCTCTCTCTCTCTCTCTCTCTCTCTCTCTCTCTCTCTCTCTCTCTCTCTCCATATTAATAAGTGCTCAAGTAAACGAGACTGTCAACTGCGTCTCCAAACGGTGTAAGTAGTTTTATTACAATTGCTTGAAGAACCCTTTTCGTTGTGCATGAACTACACAAATCTCAATATTACATAGCAAAATGTGTTCTCGCTGTCAAGAATTAAGGTGTGATTTCATATATAATAATATATCTAGGTCCTCCACACCATAAAAGACTCGAGTGCCCCTATTACTACACTACTACAACCTGTTTTATAAACACCATTACATAGATCCATTTTACTGGTCATTTGCTACACATGAAGAGAAATTAAAACTACGACAAACGTTTACAAGAAATGAAAGAGATATTACATAAATTTTCAATTTCATCCAAACTACCACAATTCATATCATGTAAGTACGGTATATATTGGTATAGAAGTCTGCACAAATCCAAATCTGCCCTAACAAAATGCCCAGGAATCTGGATCTATGCAATTTTTAAAATTATATGACTATGGTCTCTGTCGGGTGCATTGATTAAGAGATGATTTTTCAAGTCTAAATAGAGTTTTCTCCTTCATAAATGTTGTTTTGGGAAAAAGTATTCATGAAAGAGTGCTGTATTCATGGTAATACAGCATTAAAAAACACTGTCGAGGATAAATCCCGTCAGTCACTTTTTGCCTTGTGCTTTTTACTAGGGATATAATGATGTGCAATTTTGAATTATAAAGTGTCGCATCGGATGGTGTATCATATTTTGTTTGTTTTAGTGATGATACACACAAAATTGCACAAGAAGCGGTGTTGTCCCTCACTGTGTTATCAGCAAGCAGATTTATAAACCTCCTACACGATCTATATAACACCTATTGTATTTACTTGTTTTTACGTTTCTCTCTTTGACTTCTTATATTTTAAATGGTAACACATCCCAGTCATCTATGTATAGTATACCTTTTTAATTTTTCATAGAAAGCAATGGATATGACAAGGTTTAATATCCCGACTCAAGGATAATAACTTCAACACGTTAGTTAAGCAAATGCTAAGTACTGCAAGTGTCGACTCTAAATTTATACAAAACTGTGTGCAATACTTTTCAGCTTTATGAAGCATTCTCCACATGATATTAGCAATCGTTTTTAAAATTTTCATATACGATAGTGACGAAAAGTACATATCTCAAGTTGAACTATGACTAAATGCATATTCATATATTCATTGTCCAAACTCGCACACTGTAGGTCTAGGATGACGCAGTTAGAATTCGGCAAATATTTTTGCTGTCAAGACACGTGTTTCTGCTTCAAATATTTGATGGATTTGACAGCATGAGAGACAATGCCTTTGTCTAATTAGTGGTTACTGATTTTACTCGGTTGATTTATTAGCATGAGATCAAAAATTGTTTCAAGAACGTTAATCATGTGGATTAATTTGCAAGAATTTGTGTTAATCGAGTCATTATTTAATGCCTTATTATATCAAAAGTATGGACAATAAGTATAAAATTTAGGCAGCTGGTTCTTGCAATCGTAAATCAATCTAACTCATGATGTCTGGAATATACTACAATAAACGGAATACGAACATTTCGCCAACACGCCTGTTTTGTAAAGTCATCAAGATCAGATGACAGAGTGGAAGCCTAAAATAAATTCACTAATGATTGAATTATTTAACCTTGTAAGGCAGTTTTCGAGATTTCTTCATGGTTGTAGATACAGAGTTAACTTTGTTCCACTGTCCGTCCGTCCTTAACACTGGTTTGTTTGCATTGTAGTCAATCGTTTTACACCTTCGTGAGGCAGACATGTTCTGTGGATACATTATCTGGTATTTTAAGCTTAACTGACTGAACAGATTGATCCTGTAATCCAGTGGTCCCCAACCACTGAGCCGCGAACCGGTATCGGGCCGTGGATCAAATGGTACCGGGCCGCCCAAGAAACATTAAATTATTTCCATTTTATTTACGGTGGTATATTTCTCTCGGGTTTGTGCGACTTGCCATGGACGAGAGGTTAACCAGGAGCTGAAAGACGTCACCTAAAGCCACACCAATACCGTGCATGCGCAAAAGATCGTGATATGGGGGCGGTGTTAGGTCACGTCTGGAGATGAGCGGCATTCTCTCTGTTCTCCCGTACTTGTTTAAGAGTGCTTGGTGTACTTGTATATTGTGTTTGCTCAAATTTAACACACAAATTAGCAAATATAAGTACGAAACAGACGTCTTTAGAAAGTTTCCTTGGGGAAAAAGAAAAGGCTCAGTGAAGAGACAGAAGAAGAGCTTTCAACATTAAGAAAACATAGAACTTTTAAAAGACAATACCATGAGTCCTACTTAAAATATGAATTTATCAGGACAGGTGATTCTCACATGCCAACCACACCCTGCATAGTTTGCGGCGAACAGCTCTCTAATGAAGCAATGAAGCCTTCAAAACTGCTTCCACACTTGAACGTCAAACACTCTGGATTAAAAGACAAACCCCTGGCTTATTTTGAAAGAAAGAAAAAAACGGGAACACGAAGGATATAAGAGATATTTGAGGGCCACCACATAATTGAAGGAGAATGCACTGAGAGCTTCATATTTGGTGGCTAACCGTATTGCTAAGGCTAAAAAGCCATTCACTATCGGTGATGAATTGATCCTGCCCTCCACTAAAGATATTTGCCGTTAACTTCTAGAAGAGGTTACTGTGGAAAAGATAGCACATGTGTCTTTTTCGGCTAGCACTGCGACTAGGTGCATAGAGAAAATAGCCGAAGACGTTGAGACACAATTTTTGGAGAGGATTAATACATCACCGTGGTACGCACTCCAGGTTGATTAATCTACAGATATCGACAAGGCAATGCTACTTGTTTATGTGCGATATCTACACACACACGCACACACACACACACACATATATATATATATATATATATATATTTATATATATATATATATATATATCTATATATATATATATATATATATATATATATATATATATATATATATCCCTTACTTGGTATTATTTGTTAGTAGGTTATTTGTTGGTTAGTGTTTTATGGCTGAGTTAATTAGTGTGTGTATGAGTGTGTGCTTTATTGGTTTGTGTTTTAGTTGTTTGGTTAAGCCGTGATAAGGTAGTGTTGTTTTAATCTATCGCATGCTATGTATAGAGTTTACAATTCTACATTGTTGCTCAAGCCCTCAATTGTGTTGTTTTGTTGCTTGGACCTGTTGT